GTCTCAAAAGACGTGGCTAATCACAAATTTTTTTTATCCCCCAGTATAATGGATTACAAAGACTTGGATCTCTCGAACTGCCCAAGTTGTACTCCTAGTTATCGGCTATTGCCAGAAAATGTTAGTATTATATATCAATTTACTCTATTTGCTTTTATTTATGACAATCTCTATGAATTGTCTTAATTTGGTTTTATTTAAATTGTTGTTGACTGGCAGTGCCGTGTACCTGTCTCTAGCCATAGAACTGAACTTGACAAATCCGTTCTAAATGATGTTTGGGTTTCAGTAACATCTGGAACTGAAGATTATTCTTTGGCTAGTAACAACCTGTTGAGCGACATAAAACTCTCAAAGGCGCCCTGGTTCATGTAAGAGTGCAGGCTTATGCTCAGAGAGCTGATGAATGGTCTCCATTTGCGGAACAAGCTACACCACTCCCATGGAGCACCTCCAACCGAACGGCAAATATGCGTATGGCATCGTTCGGTAGCTCCAGCCGAATGCCAAATCTTCCGCTATTTGCTTGCGGATGAACAGTACGACGCCAATATTGGCGTTGCAGTGTTCACATACGCGATTTTTTCTGTCTTAACCCGATTTGCCGAAGAAACGTACGAAAGAGGAGAAAGACAGTTACCTTGGCAGAAGTGCGCAAAATGGAGTTCGATTTGAGATGAATCACAACTTTTTTAAGTTTCACTGCATTTTGGAGTGAAAAAGGAGACTTTTCGATTGGAGATGCTCTTAGTGGACAACACTGCTGGTCCTGATACCAGAGCTAATATGGTCATCAAGTCAGGTTAAGAACTACGGAGAAAGCTAAACCTGTTGTTTAAATCTTCAGATCCATTTGTGTTAAATGTAAGTTGAATGAATTAGTAAGAGCAATTTCTGTGGACATGATAGAGTTGAGTCTATGGTTGAAATTTATAGTGTTTGTAGTAGTTATATATCTTATTCAAAATTGACATCAATGTAAATAAATAATTTGTTGCTATGTGGATGACAACAGTAGAGTTTTTCTTTATTATCTCAGCTTTGAGTTTTAGACAACTATACTTTTTAAAACAGTATTTAGTACAAAAATTTCAAGCTCAAAAAATTTTTGTACTAGAAAACTGTTTTAGTAAGCAATAAAAAAACCGTCCAAACAGAATTTGAAAGAAAACATCTTTCATGCTTACGTTTCCGGTTTAGTTTTTAATGTTGAATTCTTGTTTGTTTTCCTTTGATTCAAACCAAGATTTCGGCTTCGTTTGGGACAGCTTTCTTCCTGCTTCTTAAAACATCTTTTTAGTACAAAATCCAAAAATGTTGTACTAAAAAGCTGCTTTAAGAAGTAGTAAAAAAACATCTCAAACGAAGCCTTCATCCTATCGCTTACATCATTGATACGTTTATTCTAATAAAGCTTTCATTTTATTGCAGCAAGCAAACTTAACATAGATCTTACATTCAACCTGGTAAGAGAATCAGTAGACAAACTTCTTCTCGTTAAATAAGTTGCAACAAAAGAAAAAACCAAACCAAGTAAAATGAAAAACATAAGCTTTTTCTGCATCAGTACAGGCGATTTATGGTGCTTCTCATGCTGCTTTCTTAATTTTTCGCCGCTGATTTACTGACTTTCGCCTGCATGATCGAAAGAGAGAAGTTTTTTATTCGCCTTTCTAATAGTTAACTGATAATCAGCACAAAAATGGCTGATTAGCAGAGCTCTAATGAGCAAAGTTTAGGTTTTGTTTGGGACAACTTTTTTATTACTTTCTAAAACAGCTTTCTAGTACAAAGATTTCTAATTCAAAAAAAATTTTCACTAGAAATCTGTTTTAGAAAGCAGTAAAAAAACTGTCCCAAATGAAACCTTAAGCTTCTCATCAATTTATTAAAGAGCATAAGGCTTCGTTTGGGACAGCTTTCTTACTGTTTTCAAAAGCAACTTTGTACTACAAAAATTATTAAAACTAAAAAAAATTGTACAAAAAAATTGCTTCAGAAAGCAGTAAGAAAACCGTCCCAAACAAAGCCTAAGGTTTTGTTTGGGACGGCTTTCTTTGTGCTTCTTAAAGCAGCTTTTTAGTACAAATTTTTTTGATTTTATATTAAAAAGCTGCTTTAAGAAGCAGAAAGAAAACAGTCTCAAACGAAGGCTAAGTATGTTGATTGGAGTATGAGCTTAGAAAAGTTGAAGTACTCTACCTGAACTTTCTTTGTTGGTGCGCGAGGCGTCTGTTCAGTCTTCTTAGCAGCTGGTGACTTTGGTGAAGAGGCCTTTGGCTTAGCTTCACTGACTTTGCTTCCGATTCCCAGACTTTTGGAAGTTCCAAGCCTCTCTGCATTCATGGATGCCATTTCCAAAGGATCTCTTTAATTAGAAGCTTACACACTTAAAGAGATTTTAGAGCAGCTTGGAAGAAACTTGTGCCTTATTTAGAACTATTTATAGCCTGAAAATCTTATATTTCATAGGCCAAGGGAATCATATATATTCACTATGTCTTCATTGTAAATATTCCAGATTGTTTTTTTTTTTTTAATTCTTATTCTTTGTTTCTTTTTTATATGGTTTCTATTCATACTTTCTTTCGTTCACACTAATTTATTCCAAATTCTTTGACACTGATTTTGTATGGTCTCCTTATGAGTATATACTTCATTGTATATGTTTGTGTGTTGAAATATCTCGAGAGTTTAGTTTATGTAAATTCGAATTAACTTGACAGAATAAGGATAGAGATAGGGGCGCAACCGAGTCAAGCCGACTCGAACTCGACTCGATAACAGGCTCGACGAGTCGAGCTTATTGAGCTCGAACACTATTACAAGCTCGACAGCTTATCGAGCTCGAGCTCAATTGGCCTGCTAAGTCGAGCAGCTCACGGATGAAATCAGCTGCGGGAAAATGAAAGCAGGTTCGAGAAAATGAAAAGTTGGCGCGAGAAAGACGCTGGCGACGTGAGAAGCTTGCGACATACGCGGACACTAGCGACGACGGCGACAGTCGTGGGCGCGGATTGAGCTCTATTGACCTCTACATAGGTAGCACGGTCAAAGCAAGTAACGGAGGCGATGATCTATTATTTTTGGTAAATAAGATATCATTTAGAATGAAAATCATAGTGCCTCGATCATAATGAAATGATTAAAGTTTTGTTCGATTACAAAATGGATCATCTTGATACATTTAGAACATCTAATCTAATCAAAGAGGGATCCCTCGCACTCAAATTGAACGAAAGCTATCGAAATCGACAGACTACAGACATACTAGATGTTGCCCAAACGTCGTCCATTTGCAAAATGAATTTCTTCGTTATGTTCGAAACGTTGGAAATACTCAAAATTGACAACAATATTCACGAGCGAAAATATAAACTTTAGCGCGTTACGAGGTGACGACGGCACATGAATTGGAATGCAAGATAAATAAAAAATTGACGAGTGGCGGTACTTTATTTTATAAACCTATACATAAAATCATGTATTGAGTAAATTTTATAAATAGAAATTATTATATTTAATTAATGGTTAAAATAATAGTTAATATGTATACTATACTTAATATATTATTGATAAGTAATAGTTAACATATTTATTAATATATAAATAATAATAATCATTAGCTTTTCTGTATGTATTTAGATTTCATGTTTAAATATGTAGATCATACCATTTATTATTAATTTAATATAAAAAAGTGGTTAATCTGTTAGTATAAATGTTAGTTAATATCAATAATATTATTAAATATTATTTTTTGTACATATGTCAAAATTTCATGCCAACATCTCTTATGGCCTGCCACCTAATGTTTATCTAATAGCTCTATCAATGCCATCTGTATTTCAATGTTTATACGTTCCCTTCCCTGCTTCGACTTCAATCAAAACCTACACACTTCTTTTCAATTTCCTGTAAATATATTTCTATAAATATAACAAAAAAAAAAAAAAAAATCTTCTTTAGCCTCACTGCAAATCTCTGTCGTCGTCTTGTTAGCTTGTCAAGGTATATCATTCGCCAAACTCTAAAATCTCAAATCCCATTTCCGGCGTTTGCGACGAGCCGGCGGACCACCTACACGCGCTCTCGTAGCACGGTAAGAGGGAGCCCGGTGTGACGCATACAGCGAGCCCTATACACTCTCTTGTAGCGTGGTGGGGAACGACACGGGTGTTCTTTTACGGGTACTTTTGAAGGCCTCATACACGCTCTTGTAGCGTGGTGGGACGAAAAGATATACGGCCCGGTATCCCCCGACACCTACCATACACGCTCGAGTAGCGTGGTGTGATGGCCCAGTTGTCCGTAGATGCCCCCTATGCGGGGGAGACGCCGGAATGCTGCCAAAATTTGATCATAGGTTTGTGTTTCCAGAAGCTTTGAGTTACAAAAAAAAAAAGAAGCAACAGCCAACGATTTCTTCACCTATGAGGTGTTACTCATGTATGATGGAAGTATTGCTAACTTAGAAAAAGCTTGAATCTCAAGCATATGCAATGGCTAATAATAAACAAGATGGGTATATCTTGAGAAACAAGTTCTTGCTACTAGGAAGTATACATAAACTTTCTAATGGAAATTTCCATCTTGTGTTTTATTTACTATTGGTCCAAAAATCTATGATATATATAGTATGATTCCAAGTTGTTCACAAAGACATTTGTTAAAAATTTTTTTAGAAATATTCAGCTGAAGAGGTGATGCTTCGATGTTGAAATTGTTTATTTGTGCAAGTGTCTAGATATTGCAATGATCAAAGTATTAGTCAATTGGACCAAAATACCTCGATTGAAAGTGTTGTTGACTAGTATAGTTCACATACTTGAGAGATTATATTGATTCATTTAAGCTATGGATTTGACATGTAAAAAAAAATTTACACCTGATCTCTGCTAACTTATACCTTAGTGGCTTATCAAACAGAGGAAAAATTATTACCTAATATGAAGTAGTAATCGCCTCAAAGTTACATGAAGAACATTTTTGATATGTTATTTGTTCAATCTCAAAGTTCTATTTTGAGAACCATATAGCTATTTGGATAAGTGTACAACTACTCCAATAAGTGGGAGCCAAATTTGAGAAATTCAAACACGCCACCGAATCCGCACCACTTTTACAAGCGGACAGAAGGCGTTTGTAGGCTCCTAAAATAAAATTTTGTGCATATCTCAACGACAAGTACTTGCACAAATAATAATATTTGAGTTTCAAATACTCCCCTCCCACATTAAAATTGAATTCTCTAAATTTCAATATGCAACATTGAGTAGGATACCGACGCCTCTAAGATGCGTATAGCATCCTTGGGAAGCAAGCGACTGCCCCGAGAGAAGTGCTATCGCTTAGAGAAACAAGTCACCTCGAGAAGCGTGCATATTAAATTTTAAAAGCTTAATATACATGTTAATAAAACTCCGATGATGACCGTGTTGAATGCTTATATCAACCGGAGGGGACTCTACACCTTCAAATGCCTCAAAATGCTCATGAAATGCAACTATTTCCAAATAGCTTCAATAAAGCTCCGATGATGGCCGTGTTGAAAGTCTATATCAACCGGAGGGGATCAAATATTCAAAATACCCTCAAATTTCTACAAAATCCAAATATTTCCAAGTGCCAAAGTCGCTTCGATGATGGTTGTGTTGAAAGCTAATCTCAACCGGAGGGGACTTCAAAACATGCATATTTGAAACAAAATCTTGATAAACTTTAAAATATTCAAATGAAATTTATTATTAAAACTTAAAGCAAAAATCCATCCATCATCCGCAAATGTTTGTTAAGGATGATAAATTTCAGAATAACTTTAACTCACAAAGAGAAAAACGTCTAATTGAATGTATCATTGCGATTCATTCTCAAATGATTTCTTGCTAGCGGGGACATGGCATGTGCCCTATGACCGGGTGGTTTTGCTGCAAATAGCACCACTATATTACGGTTACGGTCAAAGCCCGTATGTTCTCCAATGGTTAAAAGTCTCTTGAGTAATGAATCATAGGGTGCACTCAATAAGGCACAAAGCTTTCTATTAGCTAAGGTTGACTAAAACTTGTCTCCTTAAACAAGCACCCACCCCAAGTCTACAAGGTACCCTTGGACGAAGCAACCCATGGCTGCCGACAAGGATCCTTCTGTCAGGTTGGGTCGACTACCTCCTCTGACTAAGTAGACTAGGGACCACGATGGTCCGGGATGACGGAACCATGGGATCTTGATCGGGCTCATCATCATTCCCCCCACCATCTGCTTTAAGTATAAAAAATAATAAATTTATAACTCCAATTTCATATGTTACTACTATATGTCAGGTATTTCGTACATATTTAATGACTAGCCTTAATCGAAAGTTCTCTCTCATGATTGGGAGGGGTAATAAACTATAGGTGCTTGCGCCTATGGGAAACCTAGAACCAGATTTTAAAGTCCTCACAAAATGAGGGTGAAATCTCTGGGTAGTGTCTTATCTACAAACCTATCTGCCTGCCAAAATTTATCTCGAAACTTATCAGTTAAAACTTCCTCACCGAATAAAAAGGAAAAGCGAGCGGAGGCTGGGTACTAAATTTTTGGAGCCCACAAGCTCGAACGCTAGCGATGCATACTAACGGCGACGAACGAGAAAGACGACGACGATGACGACTGAGCTCGAATGCCGCTCAACTAGCTTGACGGACGGACTGAGCTCGAACATGACGATGACAACTGAGCTCGAACTCCGACGATGCGGACTGAGCTCGAAAGACCACGGACGGGAAAGATGTTGGCAATGATGACGACTGAGCTCGAACGCCACTCAAGCAGCTCAACGAACTGAGCTCGAGCGCGACAACGCGATTGAGCTCGAACGCAGACAATGCAAACTGAGCTCAACGGACGGACTGAGCTCGAACGCCGCTCGAGCATCTTTACGAGCTTTTCTTTTCTCTATCGAGTCGAGCTCGAGCTCGACTTGAGTTTGAGCTTGAGCTCGGTATTTGACACACAAGCTCGACTCGAACACCCTCAAATTTGAGCTCGACTTGACTCATTTACACCCCTAAATAGAGATGACGAATTCGCCTAGACCATAGTAATTGCCGGAGCATACTCAACCTAATACTTAACTAAGCCGACTCATCTAAGCTCATAAGTTACTCGCCAACATTTATTCCAAGTAGGCAACTTTCAATGGTCTAGTTGATGACTCCATCAAGCAAGTCAATTTCATTTTCTAAAGTGAAATACTTATTTTCTTGAAGGTGATTAAGACACTAAAGTGTTCTAAAAGTAAATTTTGAAATTCAGATATTATATATGTAATTACATAAAAAATATGTGTTGTATATGTAAATACCCTTAGATATTAACATCACACGTTAATTTTATTTTTTTACATTTAAATTATGTTTTTAATCCTGTTTTTTTTTTTTTTTTTTT